ACTAGCCTACAGGCACATACGAGGGATTTAGTTCTTTTGGGGTTAACTAATTGATTATCGTGTTTGGTAGGGTGTGAGGTGTATGGGAGTAGGAAGGTCCATGTGGTTTCCAAGGTCTTTGGTTTCTCGAAATTTCCTCAGCTAGAAAAATGGGGTGTCTACATGTCTTAAAACATATTTAGAAGAACAGGTGGAATACCTACAAATCCTAAGATGCAGACTCTCACCAAACCACAAGGATCTTTCCTAGCAGTACAAAGGTGAAGAAAACACACCAACTGGTAACCTTAAAGGTATGCAATAAAGATAATCCTTATAATAATACCCTTTGCTTAAAAACCCCCTTATCACACCATATATTTTGCCCCCATACTAATACTTCACTGACATCTTGCATCTTGTCTTTACACCCAAAGAGCTAAGGGTTTAAACTCCCGTATCCTTATCAGATCTCAAAACATGGATAAAATTTCCTTTGAGCAGTACAAGGCATATCCCAAAACATGTTCAAAGACCGTCGATCTCTAAAATCAATGGAGATAACTTCACACGACTATATGGAATAGCCATATCGTTGTATAGAGGTTGAAATCCAACAGCTCAAACTCAAACTAGAGCCAAAGACAAAAAAGATGTATGTGGCTTCTGCCATATTTCGCAACTGATGAGGAAAATCACTAGGCCATCACCATTAAGGCAAATGATGTTCGTCGAGCCGCACATTCACCGACACCGGGCCAGCAAAGCATGTCAACCTGAAGCTATAATTTCAAATTATCACGGCCTCGTGATTTCCATTAAAGAACCTTGAGAGTTGTGAGCCTAGAAAATTATTTACCAAAATACACACCTGTTTCTGTGACATTCAGGGGGGTACTTGTTTTAGTGAAATTTTGACATGCACTAAAACATTACGAGAAAGCCCATATAGAGAAAAGCTAAAAACTCCTATATATTTCAGGTTAAATCAGGAAAAAAAACATGTGACAAAGGCGATATCACTGGTAGTGAATGTTGATCTACACATATTGACTAATATATATATATATATATATATATGCAATCTGCAGTGGCAATATATCTCAAAAACCACTGGCAACCTCATGTCACACTGGCGTTACTCATATTAACTCCCTTTATATCGTGAATCCCCTACAAACCCCTTATCGCAATTTTGTGCTCCAGCAAACATACACGCGCGTCCCCAGTCTGTCAGTTGTGCTCCAGCATATGGGTAGGGTTCTCCCCCTTCAGTCAAAACCTCAAAGATAAGCGATCTGAACCTAAAACACCTTTTGGTAATACCCTTTTTTCTGAAAGACAATCATAATGCCTTAAAAATTATCAAATTCTGCTTTGGAGAAAAAAAAAATAGGCTTTCAACCTTCTGAAAAGCTCCGGTGAAATATAGTAGTCCCTTTTTTCTATTAGTTTTATATTACTGATTTATATTTAAGTATATCATCATAGAAGACTTATTAATTTTACATATATAATCTAGGGCCTTCTATGCTTAGAGTAACTAAACTTCTGTATAAACAGAATTCGATAATGCCCTCATAAGTGTCCCCTTGCCGAGGAGTCTTCTCTAACACATGACTAAAAGAAGTACAACATGTTATTAAGTATAGTTGCTCCCTCAAAAAGAAAAAAAACCTACTTCACAAATAATGTTTTACATATGAATTTCTAGGATCTAGCGTATTTTAAACAAAAATTTGAGTTTTTAGTTCCAATGCAACTAAATCTGACCAACCCCAACCACAATAGGGCACTTTTTTTTCAATTTTCAAGGCATTCAATCTTATTCTCTTCATGCTACATAGTGTTTGTTCTCTAATCCAGTTAATTTGCTAGGTCAAGGAGGTCATTTCCATGCTAAAAGTATTCTAAGCGAGTAAACAATAAGCTCCATTCTGGATAATTCTACTTAGTTTGTTTTACTTAACGTAATTTTTGATTTCTTATTGTTGAGTGTGCCTTTGTTGGATGCATGGATGCTCCATTTTTGTGGGAAAAAAAAACATAAAATGTCTATCTATCGCCACATGGCTTGGGAGCCCAGTGGCGCACGAGAAATATGGTAGGAGAGTTTGGCTCAACAATTATATGTTTCCCAATATGTATACAATATGATCCCATGAGACCACGTTTACAACGAGCTTTCCTTACGTTATGGAGGCTTTAAAGACGGATGATGTAATCCTATAAAATTCTAAAATATTATTATACTAATAAAATATTTTTTAAATCATAATTTCCTTGAAAGGAGACCCTTATAGAAAATAAAACTGAACTATGAACGCCATTTGGAAAATTTAATAAATGTTTCAAATTTGATCTATTTTAAAGGTGATAAATTTTGAAAAATTCACAATTAAAACAATTTTATTAGCATAATTTAAAAATGTCACAATCACAAATATTTTGTTAATAAATATATTTTAATTTAACATTAAATATAAATTAAAATTTGTAACATAGCAACTTCATTGATTAAATAAATAAAATATGAGAGATTGACTCTCTTTTGAAATTCAGAATTTTACTGAAACCCAAAGAGAACTTCAATTTTAAAATTTAATATAATAATACTCTAAATTTCACTTTGAGAAAAATATTTCTCAACTTACAAAGTTACAATATAAAAATCATGCGTTTCTAAAGCCTTTTTAGTTATGAAAACTTCTTTTCTTTTTTTTTAAATAACAAAATCAATACTCATGAGTGAATAATTTCCCATTTGTGATAAAAAGTTATGGTATCAATTTGTATCTTCTATCATATGTTTTCACAATCGCCTCTTGCAGAGGACTTGCCTATAGTTCGAGGTGAGTTTCTCGAACGAGTCAAAATGTATAATATTATTATAAAAATAAAATAAAAAGCAATAAAGATTAAAATAAGTAATAAAAATAATTAAAAGACTCTATAAGCTGAAAAAAATATGTAAAAGATGGATTCTTGAAAATTTTTATCCATGTCATGAATATTTCATTAAAAAAAAAATCAAAAAATGGATCATTTGATAAGAAAATTTCCCAAATCATCTTAAAACACCATCAAAATACCTGAAAACCATATTCCCAAATATTTTTTATTCTTAACATTTTTATATATTTACGTATTTATTGGTACTTGGCGAGTTGGACACGCAACTCTCCTCGCCGATAGGGTGCCACTGAGAAACTTGTCCGAGTTTTGGTGGACTCGATCGAGTCTTAAATTGTTAGTTTTCTCTATCTATTTATATCCATATCTATATATCTATATAAAATATAAACGTCATATAGGTTGCTGACCATGTGCTACACTCTAAATATGCCAGGAGGCTCAAAGTTGTGGTTTGGCAATTTACATGAAAACTTACGTTTTCCGCTTTCATATTTTTTGGGCTCTTTGGGCTATATTTTAAAGTAAAAACCCTTTCTAC